TGGATAACATTTACAATCAGGAGCTCCTCAGTTGCTCATTCCACCACTGAGTTTACAATGACTTATGGGTAGAAAAGCCATACTAAGTAATTTACTACACTGCAAAACCCTAACCATTCCCCAGCTCTGGGAGACAGACTTTCTTGAGAAGCGATTCTGTCTGTCTTCTTGGGTAGTGATACTCAATAAATTCTTCTGCTCTCCCACTTCAACCTGTTATGATAATTGGCTCTGCACGACATGGGGTAAGAACCATGTTGTTCCTACAACCAAAGCACAGATTTCAGAACACGCTCTGGCAGAGTCGTCAGCCAGTTGCCCAGCTGGCTTTCCTCCCCCTGAAATTACAGGTGTTGGGCAGAAGTGCAAGCCACCTCACATCAGTCCCCAGAGCCCACATGAATGTGCTGACGTTTCTCCCCCACCGTTGGAAAGGCTTCCACCCAACTGTCACGGGGCCAGAAACTCTAGGAGTGTTATCAGTAAGGGTGTCTAGGTGAGAACCTAACTACCTTGGATTTAAAAAGAAATGAAATTCATCAAGACATGGGACAGCTCTCTGGGAAAGCTGGAGAACCAGGGTCAAGGACAGGCAGGGAAAGAGGGTAGGTAGATATTCAGAACCCAGGCAAAGCATGCCACAGAGTAAGTGTGGTGAGGCCATCATGTGGACACCACAGCTGCCACAGCACCAGTGTCTGTACCGCCCTGCTCTCCCTGGAATCTCCACTCTCTTGGCTTCTTAACATCAAAGTTCAAGTCTCAAAATAATGGCGGATGGGAGAGGAAGCAGGTGGGGATACAGACTAGCTGGAACCTGGCTGGTGGGCACATAGGGCTCAGGATACCCATTCTCTCTATGGTAGTATGATTCTCTATGGTAGCATGGTGCGTCTGATTGGCCAAGTCCAGGCCACAGGCTTGCATCGTAGCTGTAACAGGTCCCAGGAAAGGACCCTGGCCTACAGAGGTGGCTTCCCAAATACAGCAAAGAGAGCCTGCAGAGGCTGGGCAGGCCAGAACAGACCAGTGTCCGCTACAGAAATGGATCACAGAATCAGCACATTGCAGACCCGCCCCCAGGGAGCGTCCTGAGTTTGTGGGATGTTGTATGACAAAGTAGAAAGGGAAAAATCTTGGTCCAGTGCAGACTCTGTCACCTATTAGCTGTGTGCTTTGGGCAGGTGAATAAGCTTCTTGGGGCTTCTGTCATGCACTGAAGAGGAATGTTACTGTGGTCCACCTTGCAGGCTGGCATGTACATCAAATCCGATCCTTTTGTGCACAGACTTTGAAAATCGTATCATTAATGAGTAAATCCGTTCGCCTCTCTGGACTCCAGGTTACTCATCTACAGAATGAGAACAATATTCCCTACATTGTAGGGCTATCGCTGAGGTAAACTAGAATATTATAATAGACAGTTTCTTTACAGAGTGAAATTATCTGATGCCTGGGATTTGTCTCAAAATAATGGCGGGTGGGAGAGGAAGCAGGTGGGGATACAGACTAGCTGGAACCTAGCTGGTGGGCACATGGGGATCATCCTACCTGAGTCAGCATAAGCAACCTCCCCCTACCTCCTCAGCTGTGTTCCCTCAGGCATAAGTCACTTCCTCTTTGTCCATGACCCTCCTCAGACTGAGTGTCCAGGTGACTATTAGGGACTGAGTCTTTAGTGGTTAAAACCCTGAAACCAAACCCACTGCCATAGAGTTGATTCTGACTCATGTTGTTGTTGTTGCTATTATATGCCCTCGAGTCGGACCCAACTCATAGTGACCCTTCCTTGGGTTTCTAAGGAGGTATCACTACGGAAGTAGATTGCCCACCCTTCCTTCTGAGAAGAGGCTGGTGGGTTTGAACCGTCAGCCTTCTGGTTAGCAGTAAAGTGCCTTAGGCACTACGCTACTAGACCTCCCATTCTGACTCATAGTAACCCTATAAAACAAAGTAGAACTGCCCCCACAGGGTTTCCAAGGCTGTAATCCTGGGAAGGAAGATCGAGCAATCTACCGTAGAGATACTGTCTCCGAAACCCAAGGAGGGGTCGCTATGAGTTGGATCCAACTCCACGGCAGTGAGGGGTTTTTTTTTTTTCAATCTTTACAGAAGCAGACTGCTTCATTTTTCTCCCACGGGGCAGCCAATGGGTTCAAACTGCCAACATTTTGGTTAGCAGCCCAATGCTTTAACCACCAGGGCTCCTTCTTAGTGGTTAAACGATAGTTTAAAACAAAAAAAGTCCAAAGAACTAATCAACAACAACAACAACCCCACAGAGCAAAAGAACACATGTGGTTAGGTGCACTTGAACTCTTAGTGACCCCAAGTGACTGACACAGTAGAACTACCTCACAGGGTTTCCTAGGCCATAAGCTTTATGGAAGCAGATGGCCAGGTCTTTCTCCCACAGAGCTGCTGGGTAGATCCCAACCAGCAGCCTTTAGGTTAGCAGTGGGCACTTAACTGTTGCACCACCAGAGCTCCTTACATAATACATACCTAAAAACTCACTGCCCTTTGAGCGGATCTGGACTTGTAGTGACCTCATACAACAAGGCAGAACTACCCCCACAGGGTTTTCAAGGGTGTAAATCTTTACAGAAGCAGACTGCCTCATCTTTCTCCTGTGGAGTGGCTGGTGGGTAAGAGCTGCCAATCTTTTGGTTTGCAGCTGATTGCTTTAACCATTGTGCCTCTGGGGGGCCTAAACTCATCTCTCTAAGAGCTCTGCGCTCTGTTCAGATTCAGGGCAACCGCAAAGTAACTTTCTTATCAACACAAACACTAACCAGGGCTTGTCTATTTCTAAAATTGCACTCTATGTTTGACCATAAAAAAGAACAGGGCATGCCCCGTTGAGGCGGCCTCCCAAGGAGCCAGCAGTCAGTGGAGGGAATACAGGGTTCGAGTCCTACCAACCCACCTGAAGTTGCAGCCACTGTGCGTGCACTGAATAGTAACGCTGACAAGTCTCATTGCAGACCGGCCACCAGGGAGCGTATTGAGTTTGCGGAAATTTGTGTGACAACGTAGAAAGGGCATGAACCAGGACTTCCAAAATCAGTCCAAGAAGAACAATGTCCGCAGGGGAAACGCCACTGTCCTAGGGTTGCGATGGGGCAAGCGTCCCGAGGTGGCATTGCAGTCCCAGCTGAAGACTGTCCCCTTGGCAGAGCCCAGCCAACCGTGGGTACTTAATTAATATCATTAATTCGGCTGGACGCTTGCCCTGGCTCCCAAAGTCAGGAAAGCTTCCACTTGCGCTAGACGGAGTTTCAGATCACGGTAAGGCTTCGGCCGACTGACAAAGGGTCACTCTATGCGAACTAACTACAAAAAATTGTCGCGAGGCCACGCTGCCCATCGAAAGCCCCACCCTTTCGCCGCGGGGGAAACCGCCCCAAACAAACATGGCGCCCACAGGGGCGGAAGCGCACCTGCCCACAACTGAGATGGCCACGGGGCGGGTCAGCTGGCGGAAGTGGCCCGTGTGGCAGCTGACGGATCCGCCATGGCTGCCACGACCGCCTCCCCGACGCTGAAGCGGCTGGACCTACGTGACCCCGCGGCTCTCTTCGAGACTCATGGAGCGGAGGAGATCCGCGGCCTGGAGCGCCAGGTTCGGGCCGAGATCGAACACAAGAAGGAGGAGCTGCGGCAGATGGTGGGTGAGCGGTACCGCGACTTGATCGAGGCGGCCGACACTATCGGCCAGATGCGCCGCTGCGCCGAGGGGCTGGTGGACGCCGTGAGGGCTACCGACCAGTACTGCGCCCGCCTCCGCCAGGCCGACCCGGCCGCGGCCTGGCCGCAGCAGAGCCCCGAGGTCAGTCCCGCCCTCGGACCCCGCGGGCTTGCACATCCAAGCGGGCCCTCCCTTCGCCTCACCGCTCCGACCTCTTCGAGTCGGTCTCTGCCCCCGCGGGTCCTCACCTGCCTTCGATAAGAACCTGCCCCCCATTCTTTGGGCTCCCCTCCTGAGGGGAGAACGGGGAGCACGCCCGCCATCCTTTCAAGGGGAGGTCATTCTGCAGCTTCTTCAGGAGCTTCTCCCGACTTCCGGGCCTTGAGTCCCCCACCTCGCTGTCGGACTCGCAGGGCTACCCCTTCCGGATGTGCATGAAAACGCCAGGGGCCTGTCTCCCTAGTTTGTGCAGTCCTGGTACCATCAAGTCATTCCGATTGATAGTGACCCTATAGGGCAGGGTAGAACTGCCCGCCAGGCTGGGTAATCTTTAAGGAAGCCGACTGCCACATCGTTCTCCCACAGGGTGCCCAGTGGGTTCCAACTGCAGACCTTTCCGTTAGCAACCTAGAGCGAAGTCTGTTACCAGGTCTCCTTATACTAGTCAGTGTAACAGCCTGGCATTGTTCGTCTTAGAGCAGGTTTCTCCCTTATGTTGATACCATTCCCCCAAATCACTCATCCTTCCCCCTAAACCATTCATCTCTGCCCACCAAAGATAATTTGCACGCTCCCAAATAGCTACTCTGCTATTTGGAAGTTGTTGGAGGGTATTGCCAGCCATTAAACCCTTGCTTTTTGGTAGCAGAATATTTTCATTTTAGGCAGCCAAGGTTCTTCTGATTAAGAATATCATAAATGATCTTCCCCCAAACACTAATGATTTGACCCCACGTTGAGGATGTGGTCTTAAACATATCCTAGTATCAGAGTAGGAATCCCTGGGTGGTGCAGTTGGTAATCGCAAGACAGAAAAGGTTGGTAGTTCCAACCCACCCAGAGGCCCCTCAGAAGAAAGGCCTGGCAATCATGTCTTGTCAGACTTGAAAACCCTATGGTGCGCAGTTCTACTCTGCACAAGTGGGGTTGCCATGAGTCAGAACAGACTCCATGGACAATTTTTCTCAATTTTTTTTTTTTTTCCTTTTAATACTGGAGCAAAATCTTGTTTTCCTGAACAGTGTTGACTTGGGGATGGATAAGTGAAAGGGCATAGAGGGTGAGAAAGATAACCTTATTGCAACATGGAGGGAGGAATGAGGAAAGTAAAATCTAGTGCAAGTCTGGAACATTATGGCATAGTGCCTAAGGCATTTGACTGCTAACCAGAAGTTTGGCAGTTCAAATCCATCAGCCACTCCTCGTCTGCTTCTATAAAGATTTACTGCCACGGAAACCCAGTGGGAGTTGCTTTGAGTCTGAATCGACTTGATGGCAGTGAGTTTGGTTTGGTTTTTGGTTTAAGTTTTAGAAGAATCCAGGTCATTATTAGAACTTCTCATATTAGAATCATAGAAGGTTTATACTTGTTCGATCTGTATGCTTAGCAAATAATCCAAGAAGCTGGACTATGAAGAACACGGCATCAAGGCTGGAGGAAGATGCATTAACAGCCTGCAATACGCTGATGACACAACCTTATTTGCTGAAAGCAAAGAAGACTTGAAGCAATTACTGATGAAGATCAAAGATTGCAGCCTAAAGTGTGGATCACACCTCAACATAAAGAAAAGGAAAATCCTTACAACTGGACCAATAAGCTACATCATGATAAATGGAAGAAAGATTGAAGTTGTCAGGGATTTCATTTTACTTGGATCCACAGTTAAGATCCATGGAAACAGCAGTCAAGAAATCAGACATCATATTGCTCTGGGCGAAAGACCTCTTGAAATTGTTACAAAGCAAAGATATCCCTTTGAAGATTAAAGTGTACCTAACCAAGGCCATTTTCAGTCACCTGATATGCATGTGAAAGCTGGACAGTGAATAAAGAAAACCAAAGAAGAGTTAATGCCTTGAATTATGGTGTTGGCAAGAATACCGAAAATACCATAGACTGTCAGAAAAATGAACAGATCTGTCCTGGAAGAAATGCAGCTAGAATTCTCCTTGGAAGCGAGAATGGCTAGATTTCATCTCACCCACTTTAGTCATGTTGTCAGAAGAAACCATTCCCTGGAGAAGGATATCAAGTGGATATCCTTGATAAAGTGGAGAGTAAGCAAAAAGGGGGAAGACCCTCAACAAGATGGACTGACACAATGGCTGCAACAGTGGGCTTAAGCATGGCAGGGATTGTGAGGATGGCTCAGGACCGGGCCGTGTTCGTTCTGTTGTCCACGGGGCCGCTATGAGTCGGAGCCAGCTCAGTGGCACCTAACAACAACAGGATGCTGCAGATCCTTCAGTGATATTTTAATGAGGCCTCATCCCTCCCCCACTGAGTCATGGTTCAAAGTTTATTAAAAAGCTAACTCATACTATACCTAAGTTTAGAAAAGTATGGATTTTCCTAATTGTCATAGCATTCTTTCTCAATGAAACCTACAAAAATTTGAGTGCCTCTTCTGTTCCAGGCATAAAGAAACTAGCCTCCCAGTTTCCTACTCCGAAGGAGTTTACAGTCTAGTTGAAAGCATGGAAAACTGACAAATACATATATGTAAATAATGTAGAATGACAGAAAAAAAAAAAAAAATGATGAGTGATTAATTATAAAAACATTTGAGCATAAGAGTTCTGAAGGAAGCCTTATCCACTCAGGTCCTTCTCAGTAAGGAAGGGCCTTAAGGACAGATGGGATTTGGCAGTGTGGGTCAGAGTATATAAGGATACATGAAAACAGTAAATAACATGATTACAACATAGTTTCTCAACTTGTGCATTCTTGGCAGTTTAGGGCAGGTCATTCTTTATGGTGGGGGTTGTGCTGTGCATTGTAGGATGTCTAGTGCCCTCTCCCCACTAGATAACCAGTAGGAAAGAAGGGTATCATTACTGATGTCAGATGGATCTTGACTGAAAGCAGAGAGTACCAGAAAGATACTTACCTGGGTTTCATTGACGACACCAAGGCATTTGACTATGTGGATCATAACAAATTACCCATAACTTTATAAAGAATGAGAACTCCAGAACACGTAATTGTGCTCATGAGGAACTGTTACACAGACTAAGAGGTAGTCATTCAAACAGAACAAGGATACACTGCATGGTTTAAAATCAGGAATGGTATGCATCCAGATAGTATCATTTCACCATACTTAATCTGTATGCTAAGCAAATAATCCAAGGAGCTGGACTATATGAAAAACAAAACAAACAAACAAACAAAAAAAAAACACAGCATCAGGATTACAGAAAGACTAACAACCTGTGATATGCAGATAGCATAAGCTTGCTTGCTGAAAGGGAAGAGGATTTGAAGCACTTACTGATGAAGACCAAAGATTACAGTCTTCAGAATGGAGTATACTTCAACATAAAGAAAACATAAATTCACACAACTGGACCAATAAGCAACATCGTGATAAACAGAGAAAAGATGGAAGTTTTCATTTTACTTGGATCCACAATTAACATGGAAGTAGCAGCCAAGAAATCAAATGACATATTGCACTGGGCAAATCTGCTGCAAAAAGACTTCTTTCAAGTGTTAAAAAGCAAAGATAGCACTATGAGGACTAAGGGGCACCTGACCAAGCCATGATATTTTCTGCTACCTCATATGCATGTAAAAGCTGGACAAAGAATAAAGAAAACTGAAAATGAATTGATGCCTTTGAATTACGGTGATGGCATAGAAAACTGAAGGTACCATGAACTGCCAGAA